TATAAAACCCAGGTTGTTTATGTGTGTGTGTGTGTGTGTGTGTGTGTGTGTGTGTGTGTTCGTTTATATGGGATCGGATTTCCTACATTTTTCAACTGATTTCAACAAAACTTCACTTTTGGGGTGTAGTGTTTCTTTATTGTCTTGCACACTTTTTTTTTTATTTTTACATTCAGTATGCTTAAAAATTCCATTTACAAGACAATTGTTTATAATAAAATTCTATTCAATCGGTAGACTCATAATGATTAAAAACAATGTTTTTGTTTGAGTTTGAGGTTGACCAATTCGTAAGAAAAAACAAAACAAAACAAAACAACAAACTAATTAAGACATGCGTGTCCGTCAACCTTAAACAATAATCTTTGTCAATTTTATTTTTCAGTCTTTATGATGGTCGATACTTGATCTATCTCTTACTGTTACATCCCAGGGCAACGCCGGGCTCTACTGCTAGTATATATATAAGTGTCCTTTTTGATTTTATTTTCCCAATAACTTCCTTGTTATTCATATGTTCAACCATGGGATTCTCAACATTTATGTTCACTCAAGTCTGTTCTTCATGTGTGTGTGTGTGTGTGTGTGTGTGTGTGTGTGTGTGTGTGTGTGTGTGTGTGTATTCGAAAATATAGTTTTAAGGAAATGCTACATTATGTATATCGGCGCGTAATGTGAAATGAGATATCGGAGAAGCGAATTCGTATTCCAGTCGGGTTTGTTGCATTCACTTACGCACTAGTAGCTTTGGGAAAGGTACAGTCCATCTCTTTTCCCTACCCCAACAGCTATGGGTTAAAAAGCAGGACTGACTGGGTTCTATAGCCTTAGCCACCGTAGAAAGAAATGGCATCTTCTACCTAGACACTCATAAATCGAAAGAAACACGATTTTATTTATAAGAAGTTTGCATTCAGGCATGGAACAGATAGTCTCCTTTTGAACCTAGTATCCAATTTTACATATATATATATATATATATAAGGATTTTCCAAGAGTAGCTTAGATGTAGCACAATGTTGAAAGTAGGAGGTGTTAGAATTTTTGGGTAGTACTAGTGAGCCAACCAAAATGAACTGACTCATTTTATAGTTCACTAAAAAAAAATAAAAAAATAAATAATAAATTAAATAAAAAGGCCAAAATTAAACCGTGATTCGATACAAATAACTACTTGTACTTTAATATATTTTAATCTTATATTTGTTTCAAAAATGGTGGATAGGATGAAACGTCTCATATACAAAAGCTCGTTTCGGCAACCATAAATTACATACTCACACCAAAATTTTGACCTACATTTTTCATTTTCCACCTTAGATAGACAACACCCATTTAAAATTTTGAAATCTCATTCCCCATCTAACTCTTAAGTATAATACTACTTTGCTTAAAAAGTAAATCATTTTTTCTGAAGTTATTCAACATCGCTTGAAAATGGAACAAAATTTTCAATTTTAATTTTTAGTTCCGAAACATAGTAATTTCTGTGTCGCGATGAAAACATATTTTTAAATAATAATATCATAATATATATATATATATATATATATATATGCAAATATATTGAAAAACAGGAAAGAACAGTTAGATTGATGATCCGAAGTTCTTTAGTATTTTTGTTTTGATTTTTAAAAAACGGTGCTCGATACACAAGTAGAGCCTAGATTATAATCATTTTTAAAAGAATATGATTCCATCGCTACACAGGAATTATCATGTTACAAAAGAGAAGCAAAAAACTTCCAATTCAATTATAGATATTAAATTCCTGTGTAGCAAAGGAATTATATTTTAAAAGAATAATTATAATATATATATATATATATATATATATATGTGTGTGTGTGTGTGTGTGTGTGTGTGTGTGTGGCGAAAAGAAAACTTTCCTTTGCAAACACATTTAGTCCTCTGATGGACAAAACAAAAGTTCTCTATGATTGGATAGGTGTTTCGTAAATCAATCGGTATGTAACCGTAAGTTCTATGCTAAGAGTTTCTTCTATAAACACTTCCGGCTTTTTGCTTCCAGTCAATCTCGATTTCAATTTAAATTTAAATGCAATGCCAATCGCTATCTTCTGTCTTCTTAATTCTTGTTCTTTTATTATTCTTTCTTCTTCAAACGCTCTTGCATATATATATATATATATATATATATATATATATATATATAGATAGATAGATAGATAGATAGATAGATAGATAGATAGATCTGAAGAGATATAATTGTGTGCACATTTTTTCCCTTTATGGACCTAAGTAACCTTTCGGCTAACACTTCGTTAGGGAAACAATCGTTGGCAAAACTGATATAAGAAAATTGGTCTGCAAAAAAAAAAAAAAAAAAAAATGAACACTAAATTGTGTCTCCTCAGATCTATTTATTCATTCTGTGGAAAGTTAAATCAATATATATATATATATATATATATATATATATATATATATATATATATATATATATATATATATATATATATATATATATATATATATGTATATATATATATATATATATATATATATATATATATATATATATATATATATATATATATATATATATGTATATATATATGTATATATATATATATATATATATATATATATATATATATATATATATATATATATATATATATATATATATATATATATATATATATAAATAATGGTATATATTTATTTATAAACTCAAGTGCACGCATGTTAGATTCATAGTCACGTATATGTGTATTATTATCACTTAAACGTTTTTTTAATGGATACCCCTATTTAAATAGACACTCCGTATATTTATCGATTTTCGTCTACCCGCCTGAATATTCGAGAAATCTTATTAAGAAACGATACACCCTGCCGGTAGAAGAAAATAAATAATTATTCTGTTTAAGAAATAATAAACGAAGCGTCTACTGAACTATGGGTATCCATAAAAAAAAAATAAGGTTTTAGTGATAAAATCTGTCAGATTAACAAATAAAAAAATAATTACTCTTTTAGAAATTTACATATATACCAACACACACACACACACACACACACACACACACACACACACACACACACATATATATATATATATATATATATATATATATATATATATATATGAAATGAGAACGGATCGACTATAAAATCCGACATACTTAACATTAATTTAAAAGAGGGTTCAATATAAAGAGTTGAGCCTAATTCTTTATTTTAGGAGATTACAACAGCATGTTAATAAATGCTACATAAATGCAATCATGTTTCGATGTGTACTAAAGCATCTCATCAGACGTTACTAAATGACTGGTTAGTACAATGTCCCAAGATTTAAATCCACATACAACCTCTTTTCACGCGAAAAAAGAAGAAAAGAAAAAGAATAAAATAGAAAAACACAAGATATCTCAAGAAACATGTATGTAGCGTTTATTAACATGTTGATGTAATATCCTAATATGTATGTATATATATATATATATATATATATATATATATATATATATATATATATATATATATATGTCTGACTGAATAAATTACAGACATTATCTGTGCTAATTTTTAACAAAATCTGTTCATACTCACGAATAACCTTGCGTGTATTGATATTAAAGTATGAGAGAAATGTGCTATAACTGTTTAAATGTCTTTTATTCTCAATTTCCCAAGTACTTTCGATCTTCTTCCAAGATCATCTTCAGGCGTGCAAGTAGTACAAAACTATATGTTGTTAAGGGGTACAAAGCTGTGCGTTGCTATCCATTACCGTAATTTTTTTCTTATGCTGAGCGTTCATTAGAACGTGGAAAAAATTATCCATTATGGAATTTTTTCATCGATGTTATAATGCCATGGTCATGCGCGCATTAAAGCATAAAAAACTGTTTGTTTATAGGCATTTCAGAACTGCAGTATTCATAGTTGATTCTGTTCAGTGCCGGCTTTAATTTTTTAACATAAATTGCTTCTAGGATCTGTAGCTTGAATTTATAATTTTCTTGATGTAGGATAGTTGTGTTGTCGATCAGTAATTTTTTATATTGTGAATGTGGACAGGAATGTTGTTGTAGATGTCGCGCAATGGACGAATGGTCAGACATGTGCAGTGTAAGATGTCTTGTTTTTGTTGTTGTCGCATACCCAACATATATATATATATATATATATTGTCGGAGATACATTCTCTCAAGGGACATGGAAATTGGTATATAATGTTTGTTTTACATGGTGCGAAGTAGTTATTGCTTGTATTGTATTTTAATATCCTTTAATATCAATAGACGGAAGGTTATTCGTGAGTATGAACGGATTTTGTTAAAAATTAGCAGACATAATGTCTGTAATTTATTCAGTCAGACATGCCCAAAAGGTAATTTCCTGCATAAATTCACAAATTGTTAATATACATACATACATACATACATACATACATATATATATATATATATATATATATATATATATATATATATATATATATATATATATATATATATATATATATATATATATATATATATATATATATGTGTGTGTGTGTGTGTGTATATATATATGCCTGTATGTATGTGTGTATATGTAATTCATATAAATGCAAACATGTATACGGATACATAAAATGAGGTATATTTCGGTGTGGAAGCAATAGCAATTTCAATCGACTTCTGGATGTTGACGAGCTGGTTCGTGTTTTCAAAGAGCACGATTTTCAGGGCGGAAGGTGTCATGAGGAGGTAATCTGTGTATATCGAAGTGGCAATGGGCGAATTCGTTTGCCCGCAAGTGATGCAAATATATTATATTGTGACTGGCATCAGTCTCTGGGCGAGGCGACTACGTTGTCACATTGATATACTCATCTTGTTTTAATCTCCAA